ATGCAGGGATGGTGCCGCTTTAGACCCAGTGTGATAACGTCCATAGTCTGCTTAAGCGAGGTGTCTCCCATCCAATATCTATGCATTTCATTTTTTTGCCCTAAGTGCAGTACCTTACATTTCTCTGTGTTGATGTTCATTTTGTTAGCTTTGGCCCAGCTTTCTAATCTATTAAGGTCATTTTAAATTTTCATCCTGTCTTCTGGGGTATTAGCTATTCCTCCTAATTTGGTGTCATCTGCAAATTTCATAAGCATGTCCCCTATTCTTTCATCCAAGTCATTGATAAAGATTGTGAATAGCACTGGGTCCTGGACCAAGGCTATAATGTCAAGGCTATAAAAGCCTTGGAAAGTATTTCTTACTAATTAAATCATGAGGTCAAAAATAATAAAAACAACCTAACAACAATAATTGTGCATGATTATATACTGCTAAATAACACAGATGAAATAAAACTGCATGTGTAAAAGGGAAGATAAGGGACATAGAAGCTTTATTGTCAGAAAGGCCAAGAATTTATACTTAAGAAGAAGATGAAAATGAAGGAGAATACAATGCTGCAAAGAAAAAGACTATTGCACCAGAATTGGAGATGTCATTATGCATAGGGTGGAATATTCTGTCCAGTGTGGGGCACCTCATGCAAAGGATAGTAGCAAATTGGATTCAAAGATCTACTAATGTGACAAAGAATTTCTAGATTTATTATTCATGAATATTGTAACAAACAATGCTCATTAATTAGTAGGACAGACTGCATTCTATCACCCTACTTTTTCAACTTGTATGCAGAAAATATATAAAGAGTAAGCTTAGACTCAGAGAAAGGAGGAGTAAAGCTAGCAGGAAGGAACATCAACAGTCTAACATACACAGATCACACAATACTACTGGGAGAAATAATCACAGACTTGGAAAAATTATTAATGAATGTTAAAGAAGAAAGCACAAAAGCAGGATTAATGCTGAATTTAAAGAAAACAAAAACAATGACCACTGAGGACCTACCTAAATTTAATCTAGACAATGAGAAAATTGAAATAGTAAAAGAGTTCCTGTACCTTGGATCAAACATCAATCAGGAGGGAAACTGCAGTCAAGAAATCAAAAGAAGACTAGAAATGGGAAGGGCAGCTATGAA